CTCAACATTAAGAAAAGGAAGAAGGAGGATCTGGGACATTTCAGACCAATCAACCTGACCTCTATATCTGGAATGATCATGGAGCAAGTCCTCAAGGAATCTACTGGGAAGCACCCAGTGGAGAACAAGGTGACCAAAAACTACCAGCATGGATTTACGAAGAGCAAGTCATGCCTGATCAACTCGACCTGCTTCTACGGTAAAAGGGTCTCTGGATGGGGGAAGAGCAGTAGATATGATATAACTTAACTTTAGCAAGGCTTTTAACACTATCTCTCATGACATTCTCATTAACAAGCTAAGTAAATACAGACTAGATGGAAGTACTGTAAAGGGGATACATAACTGGTTGGATCATCATGCTCAATACATAGTTCTCAATGGCTTACTATCCAGTTGGGAGTAGTGTGGGGAAGTTTCCCAGAGTTCTGTCCTGGGTCCAGTATTATCCAGTACCTTAGGACTAAGTACTTTTTTGATTCTGGCTTTTCATTAGTTACTTAGAAGAAAGAAAGGGAAGAATATATTGATATAGTGCATGATAATGCTAACTTGGAATAATCAGAAGAAAATAAGAAAGGGGATACATAAACTAAGTATCAAGAAATTTCCTGACAGAAAAAAATCTTACAGGATGTAAAAGTACCTCCCCAAGAGAAAAATGGTGGAAGTTTATTTGCATAAGATAATTAAAAAATGACTTATTGAAACAACAGCATATCTTCTCAATGGAATAAGAGAAGTCCTCCTAGCAAGAAATGAAGTTTTCCTGCAGATAGCTAAAACAGTTTGCTCAATCCTTGCACTTAGCTAGTTTTAAAAATAGAGAGTTAAAGCTGCTATACAGAGATTTAAATGGTCTCCATTTATTTTCTAATTTTACTTCAAGTTGGTGTTCTGGTGCCCTCTGATGACTGAACATGGAATTTCATGGAAACTTATGTTATAAGGTCCCGGTACAGTACTGTTGTTTTTCTTAGATGTATCATGAGACTAGATGTTCTGGTTAATGAAAATATTGAAACATCACTTCAAAGTCTTTTTTTTTAAACTCAAGACAGCCAAATATAGCTGTGAGAATAATGACTAATCCCCATATTGACCATTCAGCAGTTTTTATGTAGAATACCATATTTCCCCGAATCCAAGATGACCCTCAATTTAAGACGATCCCCCAATTATTAGATTCTAGAAGTGGAAAATTATAAATTTATGTCCAAAATGAAGTTTTTGGAGGGTTGTCTTAAATTCATCCCCTCTACCACTGTTACAGGGAAAGTAGTAGCAGGGAAAGCAGCAGCTGGGGCAGGCAGCCTATCCCACAGTCTTTGTCTCTCCCTTGCCACTTATCCCCTGTGCCTGATCCTCTGCTGCCTGCTTCCCGGTGTGCTTTCCACTTCCTGCCACTTGTCCTCCTCTGGTGCCTGCCCATCCTCTGGTTGCCTTTGCAGCCACTCTGTCTCTGTCCCTACCATGGTGGAAGAGAGCACCTGGCCAGTAGCAGCAACTTTGGCTTCAGCTCCAGTTGGGGCCAGGGTCAGAGTCACAGCAGCTCCCCCACCACTCCACATCCCTCTTTCCCACACTCCACCCTGCTCTGTGTATCCCTTTTCCCATGCACCACATGCTCCATTCCCATGTCCCTTCCCTGCACTCTCATCATGCCATGCTCACCTTCCCCTGCACCCTTCCTTATGGTCCCTTCACACTGCACTCATGTTCCCCTGTGCCCTTCCCTGTGTTTCATGTGTCCCTTTCCCTCTGCCCCACCCATTTCTTCACCCATGATCTTCCTGCTGCCCCTTCCCCCATGCTTCCCCACCACACCATGTGCCCATTCCCTATGCTGCTCCGAGCACTGCACCCCTCCCTGCACTGCACGCCCTCTTTCCTACCCCCTTCCCTATGCTTCCCTTGCTCAGTGTCCCTTCCCCAGACAAATCCTCTGCTGCCCTTAACCCCATGCTTCCCCCCCGACACCACACTTCCCCTTCCCTGTGCTCCCCATTGCACTGTCCACTCTCTCCCACTCCACACGCCTACTATCTGCCACATGAGCCACCTTGGCCTCATCCAGAGCTGCAGCAGCTGCTTTCCTGGCCCAAATCTAAGACAAAGGTTCCCTGCTTTCTCTCCCTCACCGCTGCTGAATTAAACCCATGTAATTAAAACAGGACTTACTACAAAACACAGAAGGGTGAGTAAATCTTTCTGTATATGTGTAATATAGGCAAAACAAAGTTCATATAACATGTGTGTTTTAGTAAAATTCTAGGAAATTGTTATCATTTATTCCATTTGTTTACTAACTGTATTTTTCCCATCCTCTGTAATGAAACTGAATACCTCTGTCTTATTTATGCTTAGTCACGTTTCTTAACACTTTCAACTTGGAGTCATCTACACTTGTGCAGTTTGTGTGAAATTGAGTTCCTCTCACTGAAAGATTGTTGAAATAGCACTGAATGTCTGTGACCTCTTCTTGTCCTTAAAAAAGGAGGTATGAATATTATTTAGTGTTTGTACAATACAAAATACTACCTGCGTAGGTGATAGATTGCCTAACACCACATTCAGAATGGTGAGCTGAGTCATTTCTAATAATGATAAACCCAGTACACCAAATGGCTCAAAGCTGTTTATGCCCATAATAAGTAGATAGATTGGGTGGGGTAATGTTCATCAAGAGTGAACACATATAACTGATGAAACAGCACTATTGTTGAAAACAAGTACTGCTAAATTGATAATGACTGCAATTTAGCTAGTGGTAAAGACCATGTTTTGAGCCAGCTGAGAAACCAAAGCCTTGAGCCTTCAAGCACTAGATAGCTAGTTAGCATTGTAAATCCTGAACTCCTTTAGATTGATTTTAAGCAGATCTATCTAAGGCTGGGCAAATTCGTAGTAGAGATGCAATTAGTTAATCCTTGATGAAGTCAGTTTGGTTTGCCTAACAAATTAATGAATTAAGTTAAACTGATTTAAAACAAAAGCTAGCTAAAGCAAGGCATTTGTCACTAATGCAAGTTATCCTTGTTCCCGTGAAATCATCTAGCAGAGTAAACGATGAAGACTTAGACTTTTTTTTAATTGGAAGTGAATTGAAAGTGGCTGTTTTATCATGAGGAGGTAGAAGAAGTAGTTTCAAATAGTCCAGGAAACTTGAGGGGTAGGAGAGAGGGAAGGAGTGGGAGATGCAGAAAAAATACAAAAAAAGTGCTAAAAAACCAAGTGTGTTAAAAATAGTGTATTTCCTATTATTTTCTCTCTATTTCCTATGTCTAGCTCATAGAACAGTGCATGACACCTTCCCAAACATGTTTTTAAAATAGCTACTTTTGAAATCTCACTCTCTTAAAACTACAAAGAAGGGTTGTTCACCTTTTTATCTCTCTGGAGCATTAGCTTTTCCTGTTAACTCAGACTATGTTTGTGACCTATTGACTTATGAGGAAAGACTGAGGGAACTGGGCTTGTTTAGTCTAGAGAAGAGGAGACTGAGAGGGGATTTAATAGCAGCCTTCAACTACCTGAAGGAGGGTTTGAAAGAGGATGGAGCTAGACTGTTCTCAGTGCTGGCAGATAACAGAACAATGCAGCAGTGGTCTCAAGTTGCAACAAGGGAAGTTTAGGTTAGATATTAGGAAAAATGTTCTCACTAGAAGGGGAGAAGGGTAGTAAAACACTGAAACAGGTTACCCAGAGAGGTGGTGGAAGCTCCATCCTTGGAGTTTTTCAAGTCCCGGCTAGACAAAGCTTCAGCTGGGATGACCTACTTGGGGATGGTCCTGCTTTAAGCAGGGGGTTGGAATAGACCTCCTGAGGTCCCTTCCAACCCTAATTTTCTATGTTTCTATGACAGACATACAGGTTAAGGCACTGACATTAGTAAGTTTAAATCTGAAGAAAGATTATCATTCCAAATGACAAAAAGCAACCCACGCAGAAAAGCCCAAAGAACAAAAGTTACAGAAATGAGTTCCAGGTCAGCATATGAGACAAATAAAGAGTTTTGCTCAACCTGGTAACTCTGAAATCATGTCTTTTCTGTCTATGACTGACATTTTTTTTCTGAGATTTCCCCCCCCACTTTTTCACTACTGATATTGCAGATCCCCAATGGGTAGGAAAATGTGGGAATGTTCATGTCAGTAGGGAACCGTGTACCTCTGTAGACAGTCTAGATGTCAAAATAGAAGAAAACGTTAGCAAATGTTGGTGGCTTGTCAATACCAGCCTTTTCGTTGCTTCACTCCTGAAGGGGCTGCACTCCAGTGCTATGTGGGAATTCAAATTCAGTCTAGTGTAGAGAACTCCACAACATTCAGTAATGTACTAGCTGTGATCATGTTTAAGCATGGTTGTTTCTTTAACCAGTAGAAATACATATTTTTGTTTCTTATTACTGAGTTACATGAATGTAACAGGTATGGCTCTAATTTCAGTGTGGACAGGGCCTGATATTTAGGTAGCATTAGTGCACATTATATTAACTTGAGCTTCAAGACTAGAAGTTCCATGGTTCTACACTTGGTCTGCTACCAACAAAGGGCTTGAGGCACACAGGCTTGTTGACTGATTTGCAGACTCAAAATGGAATAGCATGCTGGGAAATATTCCACATCTGATCAGAATGGGCCCAAAAGAAATAGAAATCAGTTATCAAATTTGTGTTTGTGGTACAAAACAGTAAGAGAAGCTTCACTCTATGCTTTCCTTTTGTTTTATTAGTAAATCTGGGAGCTTTTCCAATCACCACAAATGACTATAATTCTTTTTATGAAATCACTGTATTGTTTGATTATTTTGACTGATGTTTATTTATAGAATAATTTTACTGAGGTATTTTTCTCTTAATAAAATATATATTCAAAACACAATCACACAAAAATAAATCTATGCATACTTTACTCTTCCAGTACTAAGTACTTTGTTCTTCAGTTCTTGATGGTTTATCATGCTCCTAAAGAAAAGTTTAAAATATTAAAACAACTCACCCTGCCCCTTGTGTCCAGTGAAAAATATCAGGTTATCTTGTAATGCTGAGTGGTGATTTGCCAATAGAAATTTTAGGTGAAATTCATAGTAGAAGCTGATATTTGGGATTGCAGAATAGGCTAGAAATGAAGTATAGCCAAAAGCATCCATGCCACTGAAGCTGGGATGGCTAATATTGATAGCTGCACAAAGAAAAAGAAATTAAGTTTTATGGCAAATCTTTCTAAAATGTATCTATTAAAGTCTATGTATAACAGTTCATTTTAGTGCTTATAAATTATAAATGGTGCTAATCATTTATTGTTGTAATGCTACTATTGTCTATATACACACATTTACATACACACATATATAGGCATATTTGTGTATAAATCACCTTCTATCTGAGTCTAACCACTTTGATTGTATGCCATAATAAAAGAGGGTTATTTTACAACAGAATTGTTGGCAAATGGAGCCACCTGCTGGCCCCTAAGAATTATTTTTTTACACAGAAACAAGATTTACTCAAAGCTGAAAGAAACAAAAGACAAGTCCCAAAGGAAGTTCTTCAGTTCATATTAACACTGTCACTCATATATATGTGTGTGTGTGTGTGTGTGTGTGCACGCGCATGTGTGGAGAAGAATGCACATAAGAGCATATTGTGGAGGCTTAAGGAATGCACAGACAAAGAAAAATACAAACAATACGTCCTCTGGTAAGTAAAAGCTAAACTGGAACAACTTGCCTTTGAATGAAACAGGGCAAAGTGCCTCTTCTTTAGCTTTCACTTACCATCACAAACAGATGAACATCTATACCACGCTAAGTCCCTGCTCCCTTTTAACTCACCATACTTTTTCATAAGTTCCTATACACTAAGTATTAATGGAAATAGATGTCCATAATAAAATTAAATAAATTAAAACAGTTCAAGGAACTACATATTTCTGTTGTCTGCAGACTGACACTTGCTGTATCATCTGAATCATTTGACACATAAAGAGAAACGATTCATTAAACATATTCAAAATTTTAGAATTTACAAAAATTAACAATAATTTTTTCATAGACATTCATAAATTCATAGACATTAGGGTCTGGAAGGGATCTCACAAGATCATCGAGTCCAGCCCCCCTGCCATTGACTCTGCCCACTAATTTTTATGATTTTTAAAATTCTGGACTGTGAGTTCTCAGGAAAATGAAGGAGATTTCCTTGTGACAAGCTCTGAACACAAAGACCAAAATTAAGTCGGCCATTTGTATATCCTTGCTTCTCCGCAGCTGCCCCTACTGCTGAATATTCATGTGACAGAAGATACATAGTGTCTGAACATGGAAAGAAGTACAGATGCGGACTTTGCCATGATTATCCACACCTCTTGCACTTCAGACATGGATTAATCCACATCCAACTATACTTTAAATCTGTTTGAAAACTGCAGTAAGTACAACCTGTTCTTTAAACAACATTTTATACAAATAACACACTATGAGTTGCTCTGAGACCTTTCATGACTCTCAGATTTTTTCCTACTCCAATAATCCTCTTCCAGGTCTCCGGGCTTTAACAGTCACCTTCCTTGGGATGGAAATGGGCAATTCTCTCACTCAAGAGACTGGGTCCTGGTTGCAATCCATTATGACTCATTTGGATGATCTCATCATATCTGACTGAAATTTGAACCCTATAGCACTTGTCCCTCCAGAAGCAATTAAGTAATTGGTGACCAAAATGTATCCTTAAAGCAAGGTATCATTTACTTAACAAAAAGTCCATGTAAGAAGAAACAGATCTTAAACAATAAGCTAGCTATCTATACACATCTGATTTTCCTTCATACTTAATGTTCACTGGATTTGGGAAGGCCCAGCTCTTTCCTAGGGCTCCACAGCGGCGGTCAGCTAATTTCCCTGTTGAGCTCATAGACACTTATCTCATGTAACTGTTTCTTTTTTTTCCTCTGAGAAGTAATTCTTAGCACTTTACTATCCTTTTGATTCTAGTTCCCATGCTGACAAAGAGATTGTTACTTGGACCTAGATCCTAGGAGAAGGCAGGGTAGAGGTGCACCGTATAGACTAACTGAAACAACAATCATGAGCAACAGATGATGAAGTGAGCTGTTGCTTGTAATTCAGTTAGTCCAGGGGTGTCAGCTATGGGACAAGATTAAGGTTGCTGGGCTGGTCTGTGAACTGGATTGGGCTGCACCAGAGCCAGCATGCATGCCTAGTGTCAGTCCCCTGTGCCACATGCTGTATGTGTGGCCAGTCCAGCCCCATGTGCTGCATGTGCCAGCCCTTCTCTAGGGCTTAATGTGCACATGGTGCTTGGGGTGTGCGCTGAATGGGGCACCCTGCCAGTCTGGTCCTGCATGTTGGCTCTTGGGCTAGTTTGGATCAGGCCTTAGGCTGTCCACGCACACTAGAGCCAGCACACAGAGGCTGACATTGGGCACATGATGAATGTGGTTCCCTGCCAGATCAGCCCTGCATGCTGCCTCTGCCACAACCTGATGCTGACCAGCTCTGTAGCCAGTGCACTGTGCCAGTCCATGTACTGCTTGTGGGGTGCAGGGTTGGTCCAAGGCCCATGGGCTGGATCATAGGTCTCCATGGGCTGGATTCAGCTTGCGGGTTGTGTGTTTGACACCCCTGGCTGTATCCTGATGTGCAGGCACATGAGGTTTGTGGCACTGCAAACTTATTTGTGACACCACAAACTGCATGCTAGGCATGTATAAGATGTGCCCTGCATTGCAAATTTGCAGCGCAGGGGAAAATTTTGCTACTGGGAAATCCCAGCAGCAAAAAACCCCACAAAACATTGAGAAAAAAAGCGGCATGGCACACATGACAGAAGCATGCACCAGCAGACAGAGACTTGGTCCTCCAGGGAGATCCTCTGGCTGCTGGACAGAGTGTCTCCATTCCTTTAGTTGTGCCCTAGGTCTGCCAGAATGCCGGGAGTCAGGAGGAGTGGGGAAAGGGCAGTTTCCCTGACATGGGGCAATTTGCTCTATACCAAATTGCACATGCAGGGGTGTACACTGAGGCAAAGGGTTTTTTTTTTGCCATTATATTAAAAAGTACTATTTTTGCTGCTGAAAGTGCATGCGCCTACATGTGTGGATGCACCCCCTGAGTTATCCTATAAGATGAATCTTCTGCCTGACTTCAGACTAACACGGCCACATACCTCTCTCTGGATCCTGGGAGTATATAATTGATTTGTAATTGCTACCACAAGTGTTTCCCTGAATGCCACTGACCTGGGGGGCCATTGTGGTAGTTAGTCATGTTAGTCTGAAGTTGAATTACTGTCTGATAAGTAGGTTGTTCCTAATAAAAGCTCATGCCTCTCTGAACAGGGTTGGTCTCTAAGGTGCCACCCTGCCCTACTTTTTGCTAGGGGAGCCATTGTATCACCTCCCTATTTGTCCTACTCAAAGCCTCCTACACAGCTAGATCAATACATGGATAGAAGAAAGTCTTATGAACCATTCTACAATGACTTTCTCTCACTAACAAGAAATCAGTATTCTCAGCGTGCAGTTCTTTCAGCTAAGAAACAAAATCTACTGGTATTCATGGGAGACGAGATGAAGGAACAGTGGCACCAATTCACAATATTGGATTTTTAATCAAATAATTGAACCTTGGTAGTAGCAAAACTGGACATGCTTCCAGGTTTTTCTGTGCCATCTGTCATCTGTGTTGCTGTTTACAGCATGTCTTAGACTATGGCTTTTCTATTTGGGAGGAAGTCTAAACTGCTTCTGCAACACTCTTGAAATTCCTAGTGAAAACTAAGTAGCATTCCCCCACTTCCACTTTGTGTACACCAAACCCTGACCTAAAGCAACGAGGATTATTAGGGCTACCTTCCCCCCACATTTTTGTGATCTTTGTCTCTGGTTTGCTTGAGATGGGTGCTGGGCTGTGTCCCTAGTGTATCCTCAGTGCCGGGAGCACTCTAGGTGGAAACAGTCTATGTGAATTAGTTTTGGCAGCAGTCTTGAGAGTACTGGGTAGATAATCTAGACATGCCCACAGACATGTCATGAATGATGCCAGGGAGCTTGTTTTCTTATGGATAAATTGGAAAGGATGTTATGAACCATTTGTTCTGTTGTAACATGAGATCACAGAAAGGGCAAAGTTGGCAAACACTGGTTTGGGTTCGTTGCAGAAGTGAGGCATGGTGCATTCAAAAATATCTAATTGACATTTAATTCTAACCGAAGAATTTGTTTAAAACCTCCCCCAAACCACACTTTAATTCTTATTATTCTCTCTGAATACACAAGATTATACATAAGTCTGGCATGGGATTTATGAGAAGAAAAATATGATAAAGAAAGAAATCTCTCTCTCTCAAGACTGATGCCAAAACTAAGCTGCACTGACGCCTATTTTAGGTGATATGTTATAATACATTTTTTCTTGTACATTGATTTGGGTCTACATGTGAGTTACTAGGACCCTGGCATCTATTTGCATGTATGCATGCCACACAAAATAGATCTGTGTATCAAAAGCAATGTACACACAATTAGATTGCCTTAGCTACATTAGGCAAATATACATGAATGCTCACATACTAGAGATGGGCATTTTTCACTACAGACAATGCAGAACTGGCCATAAGCTTTTGGATAGAACAAATTCTTTGTCAAAAATGGCCTTTTTCAAAACAATTTATTTTTGTAAAATGAATAAAATAGTGACAATTTGTTTTTGGGACATGTTAATCATGGTTTAAATAACAGTATCTTTTTCACTTATTAAAAATAATTAATAACTTCTTGTTTTTTGTTGTTGTTTTAACCAGCTCTGCCTAGTGTGAACATTAAGTAGAATTACCATATTTTCTCATAAAATACCTGCACCTTTCCCACCACACAACCAGCTGATTAAAAGAGATGCATTTTATATGCACAAAAAATGGATCCCCATTGGTCTGGAAATTTGGTGTTGGGGGTGTGGTGGCAGTGTTAAATACCATGGCTCTGGGACCCACAGCAGCTAATGCTGCCACCTGTCTTCCACTGCCAAAGTTTTGGACCTGTGGGGAGCACTCAAAGCTGAATGACATGGCCCCATGTGCTGGATTTTAGGCTGACATATGAGGTTGGTCCATAGCCTGACCCAGCCTGGGTCCTGGCCCCAGAGCCAGCACATGAGGTCAGAC